GAAGGTAACTATTGCTATTCCTCTTTGGCAATGTGGTTAGGTACTAAGAGGTTAAGTAATTTACCCATTGTTGTACCTGGCAGAGCTGGGTCTAAACCTCACATAAAGCAAATTACATAGTCCTTACTGTTAATAACTATGCTCTGTAGCTGTAGAAGCCAGACTAAATTATCTCTAAACTCTCTACTTGGGAAAATAAGTAATATTTCCTCTCTAAATTATTTACATTCTGGTTTATTCAAAATTAAACTAAATAGATCAATATTTCCAGGATCAAGCAAGCAGTTTAATATCAAGGACTTGGTATTATTTGCATCAAATTTACCAAATAAAAATATATGTCTTCATAGCAGCTATAGTAAATGTCTGCATTTTAGGGGCACTTGGGTGGCTCAGTTGGTTAAGCAACTGTCCTAGGCTCAGAAATGATCCCAGGGTCCTGGGATTGAGCCTCACATCAGCTCCTTGCTCAGAGGAGCTTCTCCCTCTGCTTGCAGCTCCCCCCACTTATAAACTCTCTCTCTGTCTCTGACAAATAAATAAAGTTTAAAAAAATAAATTTCTGCCTTTTAATTTATTAGTAGGTGATACAACACACCCTCATTTACATATACTTCTCCTCCCCCTGTTCTCTGTTCTTTTTACTTGAGTCTGATTCTTCTAATTCCACCAGAGACAATATGGATACATACCTTTACACCATAGAAATAGGAGGATATCAGGCAGATAGTAAATCTGAGGTTGAAGATTATGGATGAATCCCCAAGAGTCAGTTAAAACCACTGATCAATTTTCATTGTAAAGACTGTTTTTAATTAAATAGTTTATTGAGATGTAATTTACATATCATGCAACTTAACCACTGAAAGTATACAAGTTAGTGGTTTTTATTATATTCACAGATGTGTCCATTTTAGAACAATTTGTCTTCCCCATGTCCTTGAGCTATCATTCCCTTCTCTCCTTATCTCCCTAACTCAGCTCTAAGCAACTACTAGTATACTTTCACTCTCTCTAAATTTTCCTACTTTGAACTGTCATATGAAAGAAATTATATAGTATGTGGGAGAGACCAATAATTAGTGCCAAATTCAAACTAAGTGATATTAGGAGGTAGGCATGGCACTCAATTAGGTAAAGACATTTTCCCATGATATTTTCAGATTATATTCTTTTAGGTACTTTTCCCATATTTATTCATTAGGCTCTTGACCTTAATTATTGTGTTGTTAATATCTGCTTACAAATATCTTCCTAGCTCTAAATAGATATATAATGGTGGGATCTACTTCTCTATATCTCCCCCCAGAGCCCAGAATATGATTGATTGATTGATTAACTGGAATAATGAAAATATCAAATTAAAAATATTTATCTGGCAAGATTTCCAATGATCTAGAAACATCTTGGCTTTGATTTGGTGGAATTTCAGTTATACTGGCAAATTCTTTGTATGGAGTCTTACTTAAAATGCTTCAGATAAGAATTAATATTCTGGTTCCTATAAAGCTAGTTGTAAACTTAATTATGCATTGAATGGTATATATTTTAATAACTTCTGGGATGCACTGTAGAATGTTGCCTTGTTTTCCTTAGTCTTGATTTTACACTGGAACAACAGAGCTCAATTAATTCATTTATTCTCCAAACCTTGACCACAAGCCTGCACCCTGGCTGGCCTAATAGTACGGTGAGAAGAAGTGCCTGTAAAGGAAACTCTGTCTTGACCCCCTGCCCCTTATAATCCAGTGGGAAAGTAGATATTAATCAAATTGTGATGTAAATAAATGTAAATTATAGCCTGGATTCAGTGTTACAGAAATGAATTACTTCAAGTGAGGAGACACTGATGAATGGGATCCTTTAGCTAAAATTCTGAATTTGAGTGGGGGTTTACCAGGTTAAGAGTAAAAGAAAAGAACAAACAAACAAACATGTAGGCAGAGGGGATAGTGTATAACGATGTCCTTTGGTGTTCGAGTGATAAACGTCCAGGATGAAGACATAAGGCAGGTTGAGGCCTTAAGACAGAGGGCTGCTGAGGATCTGGGGTTTTATTCTAAGTGTAATAGGAAGCCTGTCACCTGTTTCAAACAGGATGAGTTGCATTGTTTGATTCTTGACTGGAAAACCTTACATTTCCCCATTTAGGTCCAGAGCTAAATCTTGCTAATTTTAATAGAGCTGGACTGCTCTCACAAATCATCCAATAAATTAAGGTACTATGATTTTAAGTTCCAATTTCATCTCCTGAGTTTTGTCTAAAAATTTGTTCTTTAACAATTGACTTAAGAATTCTTTCAGAACTCCTACTGTTTGATAAAAAAAAAAAAACAAATAAAAAAAACACTTTTGGACTCAAACCATTCAAATTTCAGGAGAAATTTTACATATAGAAGAAAAACTTGACAAAATATGGGTTAGTTTCAGTCTGTCATTTAAACATAGTTCTAACTCTCTGGTGTTGAGGGAGGAATGGGGTTACTGAGCTGGCCCTCAGAAATTGCTATTTCATTTTTTTTTTTTTTTCCCCTAGATAGATCTCAGTGAAAGGTTTCCCACTGTCCTACCATGGTACTTGGCATTAGAAATCTGAGCGCTAAGGAATTTTTGGATTCAGTAGTGCACGGAGAGAAAAATGTGAAAAGCAAAAACAGCTAAAGAAAAACACTCTGATGACAGCCACACAGACAAGAAAAAAATATGTGACATAAAAATATGTGACAAAAAAGGTGACATAAAAAATGTCACTTTCTGTCCCCAAATATCTGAACCACAAAATATCTGGTTGAGTTTATTTCTTCTTTTTATACCACCTAAAACTTCATTGGTGGATGATTAGTCTCTGTTAACTAGTTTTTTCTTCTAAGAAATGGAGACATATTCTTAAAATCCTTTCCAATTTCCAAGTATCTCTAGAAACTAACTGTAACCATGGGCATTTAATTTCATTGTACATTCTTAGCTCCTACTTAAAATCATTCTTCAGTATGTTTACAACAATAGCTCTTAGGCCTGGCAAAGCTTTTGACTTTATTTATTCATTTGTTCATTCATCAATAAACATTTCAAAGATAAAAAAGAAAGATATTATTCCATGCACTGGGTTAACATCTATGTATGAAACAAATTACCAGAAAAATTCAGTGCCCTCTTGGAACTTATATTCTGATTAGGGATGGGGGAAAAGGAATGAAAATGAATAATAAATATAATAAATGAATAAAGATAATAGTAGGTTGGAAACTGATAAGTATAACGGGAAAGAAAGAATAGAACAGAAAAAGGGGGTTGGGAACTTGGAACCCTAACTAGTAAATATTAAGGGTCTTAGAACAGATTAGTGTTAAGCTTATTTACCACTCTAATGTCATATAATTTTATTCATAAATCTTAATTGATAGACTAGGATAATAACTACCTTGTATTCAGTGTTTGTTTTGTGCTAAATAAGGACTCATTTCAATTATACTATCAGACACAAATCACTATCTTTTGATCAAATGAGACATCATCTTAAACAGGATTTGGGCTTGTTATGAATATACTGACCAAAAGGCAAAGCAGAATTAGGAGCCATGTCTCTTACACAGAGCTAGTCCTTGTGGGTAGGTGAGTATTTGGTTGGTAGGAAATAGTGAGTAAAGTGAGTTAGCACTGGGTTTGAATTTCAGTGTGAGGAAGACAGTTTTCAATATTTCACTTATTATGTTTCTTCTTTAATATTCTGGAAATAAATTAGGACTACTTGCCAAGAAAATGTTGACTACTACTACTTTTCTCAAAAACTATTGCCTGCCTTATATTTAAGTATATTGGCAATTCAGTACTAAAAACTGACATTCATGGAAAAAATAGGGTTCTAAAATAACTTTTGTTTTTAAATAAAAAAAAGGTTTAGGAAGTTTATGTGTTCTGAAGATAGAGAAACCCAGTAGATTTTAGATCATCTTTTCAACTGTCCTATGTTAAAAGTGCTATACTTCTTTAATACATGACATTTTATTTTCTATTATTAGTTTTTTTATAATTTTTTATGATTTTATTTATTTATTTGGGGGAGAGAGTGAGAGAGGGAGACAAAGCAAGAGCAATGGGGGGTTGGCAGAGGCAGAGAGACAAGCAGACTCCTTGCTGAGCAGGGATTTTTTTCCCCATAGGAGCTCCATCCCAGGATCCTGGGATCATGACTGAGGTGAAGGCAGATGCTTAACTGACTGAGGCACCCAGGCACCCCAACATTTTATTCTTTAGTGAATTTATTTTATTTTTCAACTGTTGGTTTCAATATTCTCAGCTCTGTAATATTTAAACAGAATTTTTATGCACTTATTTCAGGATTTATTTTGTTTCCTTCCATATAGGTTTCACTTACTTATTATTTTTTTTAATTTTCTCTTATCTCATCTGGTCAGTTAGATGAAGAATTATCACAGTGTTTTGCCAGTATATTTTATTCTGTTGTTTCATATGTGCTTTCACACATAGAGAAATCTAATATTAATTAAAGAAATGCAGATGATCCCTTTCCCAACATGCACATGCACACTCTGATTTTTTGTATCATTTTGGCAGGTAAAGGTCTCTCTAGTTACTTAACATCCCAAGGGGTCTGGGCTTGGTCACCAACATAGAGCAACTTAGCTAGTTAATGGAAATACATAATTATCTGGCATTTAAACAAAATAAGAAATTCTACAATGGAAAGCATGCTACGCATTGGAAAGAATGCCTATTTAAGGCATTTCCAATCTTTAATTGAAAAAGAAAAGCTTTCAAAGTCAACTGTTATTAATTGCTAGATGTCACAGTATATTCTAAATAGGTAGATAAGTTTTTTTGGGAGCACTATCTGCTGAGTAGAGAAATTCCACAAGATTATTTAGATTGTATCTGGTGTCCATTAACATATTATTCTTAGCATGTATAGTTTCTTAATTAAAGGCAGAATTTTTACTTTTGCAATTAAAAAGCACAACATATGATTTTTTTCTTTGCAGGGGGGAGCTGAACATAATATTCCAGTTGTCATTTCAAAAATCTCCAAGGAGCAAAGAGGTAAAGTGTTTAGAGATTTACATAGTACCTGTTCCTTTGTAAGCCATCCTTACTGAAGAATAGGTCATATTAAAGAACCATAAGTTAACATGTGACTGACTAGCTCCAGGTTCCCCATGACCAGAGAGTAAGTGGCCAAGTCTGATTCCTAACTCTATCACTTTATTACTCCAAGGAAGGATTTCTCTCACAGGAAAGCAAGGATGAAAGACAAAAGAACATGCGACTGTATGAAAAATTAGGGTCTGCACAGCTTTTCAATTATTTCATTATACAAACATAGAGACACATTTAATGATAAAAAGTCCCATCAAATAAGGCAATTCCTCATACACATATTTTTTCAGTTCTCATATGCAGTTTAACTTAGCCTGTCATGAAATTTCATTTAGAAAAACACCAAACATGTAAAACAATTTTTTCAATGACTGAAATCAGTAAAATAATCTAATGTTCAAAAGGAAACTTAGAGCTGATCTCATAGCTGATGGATTGAATGTCTAGATAAAAAATTTTTCACAGATACCCTAATATTATAAGTACATGAGAAAATTTTGTCATCCATCCAGAAGAGTGACCAGTTTTAGGCAACTGTAAGATCTGAAATGATGGGAATAAATGGAAATAGGTATTCCAATGTGTGGGCAGAATCATACAATTGCTTTTGCACTCCTATTACTTGTGGATCTTTTAAGATACTATCTGTATAAAACATTTAATATTTTCCTTGTATTAATTTTGATTTTACTTAATTATAAAACTCTTTCATCTGTATGAAGAAAATAGTTTGTGCATAATCATTACCCTTCTTCCTTTCCAGCGGAACTTTCAGGGCTGCTCTTTATTGGAGATGCAATTCTACAGGTATATATTTTACCCTTATTTTCTATGTGCAACCAAAACATAAATTCAATTCACAGTATGCCAAATGAAACTATAATTTTTTTCACTGCAGATAAATGGAATTAATGTGAGAAAATGCAGACATGAAGAAGTGGTGAGTTTTCTTTACTTTTTCCTAATATCATAATATTCCCCATGTGCAAATAAGGATCTATGGCACTGCTAAACACTGTTCAATTTATTCATTAGGTAGATGTGACATTGGTCCAGTGTGTTAATCAGATTTTCAAATGATCTCTTAATTAGTGTATGTGTATGTGTTTCATATTAGAAGTAGGTCTGTGGTACTACCCAGGATGAAATGTAATTCAAAGAAATACCTTGACCATTGCTTGTTATGTGTTTTTGCAGTTTTCCTATTAATCCCTGCCAGCCAATGTCCACTTAGTATATATATCTCTAAGTGAAATATGTCTCTGACTCTGCAAATGTTTAGAAGCTTTTAAACAATAGTATTTATGTCTGTAAAATCTTACACAGTAACAGAGTCAACTGGAAGAGCATATAATGGCTGTGTGTGTGACAGAGAGAGAAAAAAGAAAGAGACAAAATTTAGAGTTTAATCTCAAAGCATACTGAATTAGCCCTAGGCAGAATGGTCATCAATCTTTGTGTGTGTGTGTTGTTGTGTTCTGTGGTATGTATGTATGTATGTATGTATGTATGGATATTGGTAATTATGCATATCTGAAGCCTCAGCCTCAGATACTTTATTTCAGTCAGTTTAGGTAGGCCCAGGAATCCGAATTTTAATAGTCGGCCCATGTGGTTCTAGTGTAGGTGGCCTGTCAACCACACTTTGGGAGAAGCTGGAAGGTTGAAAGGCTTCTGTCGGTAATGGTGAGAAGACATGAAACATGATACAAAAAGAATAGGACAGTGTTAGGCATTTGGGAAACATTCGTCATGGTTGATTAAGTAAGATTCATAGAGCCTTCACTGAATTTCTATAGCAGCTTGCAATGGAAGAGATAGAGGAGAAATTATATTCAAAAGTTTATGCTCAAGGGTCGTGTTTGGATACGTTGTTCCTCTGTTAAAAGCTATTTAGAGAAAACCATTCTGATGTGTTTGTGTATTTCAAACCTCAAGGAGGCACCACAAGTGTTTCTGAGAAACCACAGTCCCACAAGCAGTGATGCACGGGAGGGTTTTCAGTTGTGCATGCTTGGAATAATTCATCTAGTTTGTATTCATCACTTGTCTTTTGTCTTCTCCAAAATCTTACTGGGGCCATGGTATCGCCACTCTGTGCTGAACATCACATGTAAAATATGCGTTTCAAGTCTTGAATTTACTACAGATACGTTCAGAAAAAGCAGAGTTTTAGAACAAGTTAGAGACAAATGAGAAAACAGCAAAGAGCGCTCTGTTCTGCCGATACAGATGCAAATGTTAAATATAGCCATGTAAGCAAAGATATTTTAACTTTAGTCTTCTCTCAAAAATACAAATTGATTTTAAACTCATTATACAGGAAGCAAAACCAAGTGCATTCTCTTTTAAAACCACATGCTGTTAGATGGGGTCCTGTTTGCAATTTGCCCTTCCGAGGCAGGCAGCATGCTTACACAAACTGTGCTAGCTTTGATTAGACAGATTAGTGTGGCGTGAAAGATTAGAATGTGCTAATAACGCCACTTCCTAATGCTGTTCATTCTGTTTCAAAGAAAAGGAATTTAAGATTGTATTGCAAATTATGTGCGGCTCTTCACAATACACTTATTTTTTTGAGAAGCTTAACCTTAACTTAATATAGGCACTAATATTCTGAAGTTCCACTCTTTCCTTTTCCAACAGTAATTATATGCCTTTGTCCTCACTGCTAATTACGTAAGCAAGTAGACTGACTTATACCTCAGTGGGGCTGAGATATTAATTAAATGTTTAAGAATGGACTTAAATGGGCAGAAAAAGGCACAACAAGCTCAAAGGATGTAGATGGTTTTAAAATAGCATGCTGATATACCACATTCTGTATTCCAAATCAGTGATTCACACAGAGTTCCAAACTCAGAAACAAATTGAGTAGGTGTGACAGTATGTTGTGGGTGCATATAATTTTCCTTGTATTCATCTGCATTACTCATTGATGTTGCTAGAAATTTTGTATTTGTTCCCTGATTAGCTTCAGTCTTAGGATGCCTTCAACAATATAGATGTAACTTCTGTGTTGGTGTTACAAGATTTAATCTTTGTGATAGGTGAATCCCACAGTGTCTGTTATGGGTACCCAGTAAGACTATTAAGGAATTATTTAGCCAAATGCCTAGAATTAGATCACTGAAGCATTTGTGTCTGTGTGTTTCCACGTTACTAACATGGACATAAAATACATCAGTTCTGGGTTTGCATCCACACCATGCAAAGCAAGAAGATTGCTGAAGAAGAGAAGCTTCTGAAGTTTCCTCATTAGGAAAGACCAGCACAAGTGTTAAGGGTTGTTTGGTGTGTGACATGGTGGGAAGGTAGCAGGGTACTCAGTTTAGAGGGCTTTCACACTCACAAACGACTATCTACAAGTCCTAGCTGGGCCACTTATTAACATTGTAACTTCAGGAAAATGAACTTGCTTGTTCTGTCCCTCTCTTATTCATCTGTAAAAACAATCTAATAATTACCTTTATAAAGACTGAATGGGAGTAATGTATATGAAACTCCTGACACAGATCTGGCAATTAAGAACACTTAGGTATTATTTTATGCCATCGAATAATATTGCTTCACATGTTGGCACTCTTCTCCCTATTCACTCCCAGTGGTTACTACTGTGTCAGTGCTGGGCAGTCTTGTTGAATCCATGCTGTCCCTTTGGAGCTTCCCATACAGAGAGAGTCCTAATGCATGCTGGTCTGCATTCCAAGCTCCTTCCACCACACCCAGTCAGAAATTGAAGTGGGCACCCACGTCTGGAGGGCAGAGTTGTTTGTAAATGAGGGTTTCTTGTTCATCATAGCAGATGTCTTTTTATTTTTTTATATGAATGTGTTTTGTAGTCCATGAGTTATACTCCCAAGATACAAAAAACCCTAATGTACCTTTTTTTTCCAAGAAAATGCAGATCTGTTGTCACTGTTGATGTTAAGATTGATTCTATTTTTATTTAAAGATTTTATTTATTTATTTGACAGAGATCACAAGCAGGCAGAGAGGCAGGCAGAGAAAGAGGAGGAAGCAGGTTCCCTGCCGAGCAGAGAGACCGATACGGGGCTCGATTCCAGGACCCTGGGATCATGACCAGAGCCGAAGGCAGAGGCCTTAACCCACTGAGCCACCCAGGCGCCCTGATCCTATATTTTTTTTTTACCTGACCATTGAACCTTAGACACATTAAATTGATTGCTATCTCTCTACCTTTGATCTTCTATCACCTATCTATATTTTATTAACAGGTAAATTGATCACATATCAAAATCTGAGTACCATCTATATGAGACATACTGAGATAGAGTTCTTTGTGTGACAAGAAAGAATATACAAATAATTTTGTCTCTAACTTTATTGCTATGTGGACATCATTTCTGTAGAGTTTAATAATTAAAAGAGTTGTACAAAAAATTATTAGGAAAGGGCATGTTGACTTATGGTCTTCAAAATACAACAGTGGTGATCTATATATGCTCAGTCAAAATAAAAGGAAATAAGCTCTAGCTATAGCAGGAAAAAAATGCATCTTGATTCTACAATCAAGATGGTTAGAAATGAAAATCTATAAGTATAGTTGAAATTTCCATTTAATAAGACTTTCAAAATAGGATAACTCATTATTAGGCAAAGCAGAGGTTTCCTTCTAAAATACTTCTGGTTTCATGTTTGAGATTTATGTATTCTAAAAAAGATGCCTTTTATTTCTATGGTTTTGTTGATAGAAAACATTAGATAATTAGAAATGCAAATAACTTTCTACTTCTGAATTTTTATTTTTAAACCAAACTCTAAAAAACTGTAATTCTTATAAGAACAGAATGAGTATCTCAAAGTATGTAAGTTAAAATGATATATGTATGCAATAAAAACAAATTTCGAGAAAACTAATATTAAGTGTTGTTTAATAGCATTTTAATCATTATGATATGCTTAACTTAATTCAAAATTTCCATTGGAATAAAAAGAATATATTATTTTCTTAACTTAGATTAATCAGAAAATAACTTTAAAAGGCTTATATCCTATCATCTGAAAATATAGCATTAATTTATTGAAACAGTTTAGGTTACCAAGGAACATATTTAGGATGTGATTTGGGAACACACATCATTTTACATCTTGGCAAAAAAGATTAAAATATCACAGAGTTACAAATTATGTTTTACTTAACTGATAATAATTCTTAATTTGTTCTCAGCTTGGAAAAAGGTTTTGAGGTCTTACTGCTTAATACTTTGCTTAAGAATTCTAACCATAGTAGACTCCTTTTCTTTAAATTAACTACCACCAAGGAAAGCCATATATGAAATAATTATACTTTTAATACTTTCTACTGATTTTAGAAATGTTCAATGCAAAGACAGAAATGTGCAAAATATTGTTTATGCTATGTCTGATTTTGGAAAGAAATAAAATATCCAGAACTTGCCTTACCTACAACTTAGCTTTTTATTAACACTGTTAGGAGTTCCCTCTCTGCTAAACCCATACATAGGTCTGTCTCATTAGGTATGAATATAGATAGCATAGGCCACCCTTTAATTAAATGCATGGTCTTCACTCTTGGCTACTGATTCTCATCAATTCCTTTATTTGCTGTCTAACATAGTTCAATGATCCAACTTTGCAGCTCCCTTAATAATGAGACAAAGCCAAGCCTGATAAACCAATTACTTAGTGGGGTCCCAGACAATTTTTATCTAGAGGAATGGACACAGAAAATATATAGCAGTAGGCACAAGGAGACCATGTCATACTCGGGGGACAAAGTGACTTGAGGTAGAAATGAACACGTTGATATTCCTTCCTCACCTCTTGCAAAGACTCTTAGCAGTCACTCTCACTCTCCAGGTTAGAATGACAAGGGTAGATGTGTGTTATAGAGATTATACAAGTTCACAAAACTGAAATTTTATTTTCAAAATGATTAAACTGAAAGGCAAGGAG